CCAAGCTCTCCATAATTGTAGCAATCCATTTTGGAGATGGGCTTCCTCTTGCTACTAGTAAAGAATTTTTTCTTCTTTTCATCAAACTTGACACCATTCTTGTTGAGATTTTTAGCATCTTGGCAGTTCTTCTCACCATGAGAGCAAGGCTTGCATCATTAATCTCATCATCACTTGAGCTATCATGATCAACTTTTGCTTTGCCCCTCTTCTCCTGGCTAGCCTTGAATGTCAAATCTTTCTTCTTGGTGGAAGAAGAGCCATCTTGTGGAGTGATGTGCATGTACATCTTATGTGCATTGATCTTCCCCAATATTTGAGTTGGCGTAGTGGTGGAAAGATCACCTTGATGAAGCACCATCACAGTATGCCCATACTTGTCAATGGGGAGGACACTCAAGATCTTTCTCACAACATCGGATGGTTGCATTTGAGTGAGTCCAAGCCCATTGACCTCATCTACAAGAACATTCAAGCGAGAATACATTTCATTAGCACATTCATTAGGAAGCATCTCAAATGAATTTAGCTTTTTGATCACAAGGTGATAGCGTTCCTCATGCTCACTCTTAGTTCTCTCATGGAGCGCACAAATGTCCGACCATGATGCATGTGAGTCTTTGTGGTTCCGCACATGGTTAAAGACATCTTTGCAAGGTCTCTAAAGAGGGTGTTTTTGTCCTTTGCATTCCACTTCTCGTAATTTGCCTCATCATCAACCGGGTTGGCGGGGTCCTTAGGTTTTGGGAATCCTTGTGTTGCGGCTCTAAGCACTCCAACATCTATAGCCTCTAGATACGCCTCCATATGAATTTTCAATAAGGAAAATCATCTCCTTCAAAGAAGGGAGGTTGTCCATCCCCATGGGACATCTTGCTCTAGGCGGTTAAGTCTAATTTAGGTGCACTCGGCTCCGATACCAATTGAAAGGATCAAGATGCCCAAGAGATTGGGTGAATTGGGCTAATTCTAAATTTCTTGCAATAATTAAGCTCTACACTTAGCCCATTTCACCCCCTTGTGCCTAAAAGTGTTTATATTGTTCTACCGCACAAAAGTTTTGCACCCTAGGTTCCAATCCTACTATAGCATGGTAATTCTAAGAATATAAAGACAAAATTGAATTTCTCAATATAAATTCTCAAAATAAAGAGAGGGAGAGAAACGTGGTGATGTTTTTCTAAGGCATCGGAGAGTCGCCACTCCCCACTAGTCCTCGTTGGAGCACCCGCGCAAGGGTGTAGCTCCTCTTGATCCATGCAAGGATCAAGTGCTCTCTACGGGATGATTCTTTGATACTTTGTCGTGGTGAATCACCCACAACCGCTCACACCAAGGCTTGGTTCATCCACAAGCTCTTTCGGATGATCACCAACCTTCCAATCACCACTGAGTCGTCTAGGTGATGGCGATCACCAAGAGTAACAAACACAAACTCTCACTTGACCAAGATAAGCCTAATGAGAAAGGTGGATGCACACTTGCTACTCCTAATGCACTAATGAGGTCCTTAATCTTGGATTATCAAATCTCAATCATCTCACTAGGCTCTTGCTCTCCCTTGCACTCCAAAATATTTCCTCAGCTGAACAAATGGGCAAGAGAGGTGAAATGGATGAGTAGGATATGTATTTATACACCCCATTCAAAACATGACCGTTGGAGTCCAACTCAGCAACTTTTGGGGTGACTGGACGCGCCGGTCGATGTAACCGAACGCGTCCAGTCAGTAAAAACTCACCGCTGCTAATGCTAAGAAGTTAGAGTCGACCGTTAGAGTGACTGGACACGTTCGGCGCTACAAACTCACTAGTGCAAACAGTCGACCGTTAGAGTGACTGGACTCACCGCGGAGTCAGGTCCACCATGACCCGACGCGTTAGGTCCTCGAAAAACCTTCTCTGGATGCATTCTGTTGTTGACCGAACTCACACACGCACGTGTCGGTCACTATTTCTTCTCAACGTCTGGTCCTTCTTAGTATAGAGACCCCGTGGCTACAGTTGGCGGCACCTGCGCGTCCGGTCCTAACTCTGCGCCAGTGTCCAGCCGTCCTTCTACCCCAGCAGCGTGCGCCATCAACTGACCGGACTCACCAGGACCGAGTTCGGCCAGGGCATCACCATGTGTCTGATCCTCCTATCTTGCTTCAAATCACTTCTAAATCAACAATCTCTATGAATGAAGTTGACTCCAATTGATCTTTGGGCTGTCCATGTGCTATCTAGTGCTAAGTTTGATAAGTGTACACCACACCTAATACATTAGACTCATCTAGGTCAAGCTACTAGTTCATACCCCCCTTAATAGTACGGCCAAAGGAAAAAAAAACAAAGTCCTAAACTACTTTAATTGTCTCTATAATGCCAAATGACACTTAGAACTAGTCCGTCCTTAACCTTGTCGTCCATCATTTGAAAACCAAAACGATTTCCATCGACAGGGGCATACAACAACAACAACAACAACAACAACAACAACAACAACAACATAGCCTTTCAATCCCAAGCAAATTGGGGTAGGCTAGAGTTGAAACCCATCAAGAGCCTAAGTCACGGTTCAGACACTTCAATAGTTGCTTTCTAAGTACTCCTATTCAAACATAGATCTCTAGGTATATCCCAAGCTTTTAAATCTTTTTTTATTGCCCCCCATGTCAATTTCGGTATTCCTCTACCTCTCCTCATATTATTAGCTTGGCTTAGGACTCCATAATGCACTGGTGCCTCTGGAGGTCTTCTTTGGACATGGCCAAACCACCTCAACCGATGTTGGACAAGATTTTCTTCAATTGATGCTACCCCTAGGCGATCACGTATATCATCGTTTCGAACTCGGTCAATTCTTGTGTGACCACAAATTCATCGCAACATATGTATTTCTGCAACACTCAGTTGTTGAACATGTCGAATCTTTGTAGGCCAACATTCTACTCCATACAATATAGCCGGTCTAATCGCCGTTCTATAAAACTTGCCTTTTAGCTTTTGTGGTACCCTCTTTGTCACAGAGAATGCTAGAAGCTTGTCTCCACTTGATCCACCCTGCTTTAATTCTATGGCTAACGTCCGTATCAATATCTCCATCCCTCTGTAGCATCGACCCAGATACTGAAAGGTATCCTTCTTAGGCACTACTTGACCTTCCAAACTCACATCTCCCTCCTCCCGTGCAGCTCCGTCAAAGTCGCATCTCATGTATTCGGTTTTAGTTTTGCTCAATCTAAAACCTTTAGACTTAAGGGTCTGCCGCCATAACTCTAGTTTCCTATTTACTCCTGGCTGGCTTTCGTCCATTAATACTACATTATCAGCGAACAACATACACCAAGGGATATATCCTTATATGTTCCTGATAATCTCATCAATTACCAAGGCAAAGAGATACGGGCTTAAGGCTGACCCTTGATGAAGTCCAATTTTAATCGGGAAGTAATCTTTGTTACCATCATTTGTTCGAACACTAGTCACAACATGGACTAGTGTTCGAACAAACGATGATAACATAGATTACTTCCTGATTAAAACCATAATTGTCCAATCAATCACCATTATCATAACCTAACTCAAATTGTCTCTACAAAATACATGTTAGTCACAGTAATCTTATATCGTTATTAATCACCGAAACCCAACTAGAGGCCTAGATGCTTTCCATATATACCATATACATCTAGGTTGTTCTTTTCCAAACTGTCCGACTCTCAGATCCTCCAAATGCGTACATGTGTGCCGATCTCTTTTGGACGGCTTGTGAGTTGATCCTTTCAAGTGTTTTCTGATATAAACGTGAGAATGTTCATCCTGCACCATGCCGAGACATTTGGTACCAAACGGGTACTGCAACTCGACACCTGGAGGCTGGAGCTCAAGGTCTGAAATAGGCAGGTGCAGCAGCAAACCAACCGTCAAGTTATACCTGCCGTTAATGGTAACCTGTCATTCATTACAAAGGGAGCTATATCATATGCATCCCTAACCTGAAACACCCGAATGACAAAAATGCCCAAACAAATGACAATGCGAAGTAGGGAGTTCTATCCCTAATATTTCGAATCTTTGGCATGACATCAAAATATGCATGCAATTTAAAGCAAGGAGAAATGTTTGAATGCAAAATGAACTGAATGGCAAACACAGCTATATCTTTAGCCCCCATCCAACTAACCTGAAACACCCTGAATGACATGAAATATTTGACCCAAACAAAGATGACAATGCCATTAAAACAGTTTCAGATGCAAAACTCTCAACAGCCTTCCTGGCTCCTACGCATCTTGATCGACCAGTGCTTGGCCTGCAGTTCCTGCATGGTCCCTCCGGCTGTCTTTGGTGTATTATATTGAGGTGTATAACGATTAACCTCTTTCAGATCTATCCTCTGAGGGACCCTTGCCCTCTCTTATATACTCTCGAAGGACAAGGTTACAAATAAAGTATCATATTTGGTACTATTACAATGTCTTGCGAGTGCTCCTGCTGCTAGCCATCCTGCTGCACAGAACAAAGCAAGGAGAAATCAGAGAATGCAAAATGAACCCAATGAATGAGTAATAAAAAAAAGTGCGTCTTGAAGCCAAGCACAGCAACAAACACAGCTACTACCTTTAAGGCTTTAACCCCCACAACCAACATGAGCAGAAGGCAGCAACCAAAGAGCCAAGGCCGCGCCTGAGAAGAGCCTCCCCTACGCAATTTAATGGTCGGGCGTTGACATCATATTTGCACGGAGCAAATGCCTAGCACAGATTCATGACATTTACTGCGCCATTAAAACAGTTCCAATACAAAACATGCTTAGCACGTTACAGGCCCCGTCCTAGGTTAGTTTAACCATGCATACACAGGCAGCCACAGATGAAGTCCTCAGCTCCTAAATCCTCCTTCCTGGGACCAACTACAAAATAGGTGCCTAGTTGTGGTAGACCGATGACCGCAGAGCATCTTCACCTCCCTCGACAGATCTACCGTCCCATAGTGATGCATGGTTCCAAGAGATGATCAGTTAGCGTCGTACTCAACCTTCCTACCCTCTTCAGCTTGGCATCTCTTCCTGCAACAAAAAAATGCCAGTTGCATTTCTCACATAAAGCATGTACAGGGTTAAAAAAAAACATCAAGTTAGTGCACCAACCTCTTCTTAGGGCAATGCTAGTGTCACATCCGTTCCTCGACACGCATCCTACCGATTCTCATTGTTCCAGCACTTCTTGGCACGACCATGTTTACTTGCGATGGTCCTCAGCTCGCCTCCTGTTCAAAATAGGTGCTGGTATTAAAGCATCTTCACCTCCCTGACAGATCTACCGTCCCATTGATGCATTTACAAGAGAGATGATGAGAGCGTCGTAAAACCTTCCTACCCTCTTCAGATTCTAGCTGATAAAAAAATGCCAGTTGATAAGTTCAAGTTAGTGCACCAACCTCTTCTTCGGGCAATGCAGGCGTGCAACCCTTCTCACGATGTTCAATTTCAACTGTTCGCACTGTGCCAGGTTCCTAGCTTGTCTTGGTTGAAACCAGGTTCCACCAGAGGCCAATGCGAGGCCACTGTCTGTCATGGGTGGAACTATACCACTATATGCAGCCCTAAACCACTCAACAAAGTAGTAGTCATGGACAAAGGATTCCACGTCAGCATTTGTCTCCGTGGTTATCCATGCCAGAGCATGGAGGCAGGGCTTCTTGGTTAGTTGCCACTCCCCGCAGCTGCAGGTGTGCTCGTCCAAGTCCACCACGTGCCTCCATGGCACCATGTCCTGAGAGCTGCCAGAAACTTCACCGGTCTGCAACCCGCATTTAGAGACCTTGATGTTTCTCAAACTCCTTATTTGTGTATTAAGTTGTTGGATAACTGCAGGGAGAATATGGCCAGAGAGCTTGCTTCCAATACACCTCCTTTTGTATCAAACCCCCATTGTCATCTGCCTCAACTTATCAATCAAGTCAACCAAAGGCATGCCCTTTATGTTCAGAGTCCATTCTAAGAAACTTTCAGTTAGATTATTATCACCAACATCAGCAGAAATTGTTAATCCTGGTATATTCCCTATAGCCTTCTTCAATTGCTCCATGAACCAAGTCCAGTTATCATTTGAAGCTGAGTAAAAATGGCCCCCATTGTCATCTGCCTCAACTTATCAATCAAGTCAACCAAAGGCATGCCCTTTATGTTCAGAGTCCATTCTAAGAAACTTTCAGTTAGATTATTATCACCAACATCAGCAGAAATTGTTAATCCTGGTATATTCCCTATAGCCTTCTTCAATTGCTCCATGAACCAAGTCCAGTTATCATTTGAAGCTGAGTCAAAAATGGCCCATGCGACAGGGTACATCCAATTGTGACCATCAAGCGCACAAGCACATGCTAATTTCCCTGAGTAGATGCCAGCCAAGTCTGTGTAGTTGAGTGCAATGTCAGGTCTACAGCCTGTTTTGAAGCCATCTATGCATTGCTCCAGAGCAAAGAAAAGCTTGTTGAAGTGGACATCATCTCCACATATCTTAGTGCAAATCTCCACAACTGAGCCTGGACACAAGGAAAGAAGTTCAGCCCTGAAATTGTACAATGTCTGAAAAGTGTCTTCCCAAGACTGAAAAATCTTGTTCATCGCTTTCTGTCTTCCACCCCATACGTAGCATAGCTAACCTCTACACTATACACCTCCTGCAGTTTCTCTTGCAACTCTTTTGCTCCTAGTTCTGGACTCTCCCTCAACCAATCAGCAGCCATCTCTGCAACCCAGCTTTGTGATGCCATTGAGGTAACAGGGTTACTAGTAGATATGCAATTGTGCTCTTGAGGCATCATGTTAATCTGCAATACAGGAAACAGAAACACAAAACAAATTAGACAAGTTACTAACATTAAGCAAGTTAACAAGTTAGGCAGGTTAGAGTAGTACCACAACAGTTGGTCCGTCCCGCAATTTGCGTGCCACAATTCTCCATGGACAGCCTTCTGCCTTGCACTCAGCTCTATACCTAGTCTTATCAGTCTTGATTTTGTGCACCTGAAACCCCTTCTTTATTCCATGCTGTCTCAGTGCCATCCTGAAGTTCTCCATCGAAGGGAAATATTCATTTACTTTGATCCTTAGATTTTCATTGTCATACACAATGTTGAACTTAACATCTGCATAATCATCAACTGGAATTTGTGCAGTGGAAGTGTCAGCATAAAAAATAGGATCTACCAAAGATTCCTCACTTTGAGTCTTTCTGGCTGCTTCCTGTGCATCAGCTTCAGCCCTCAGCTCAATATCCACAAGGACTTCATCATCCACGGAAATGCCCTCATCATCCATCAAAGTAGAATCTACATTTCACTGAAGTAGCACAGTAGGACTGTGGCTAGCTGCTGCACATGACTTCTTAGCATTAGCAGCTGCTAAATGCAACTTCTTTGCATTAGGACCTATTGTGTACGTCTCCTTTGTTTGAAAACCTCCTTCCTGAAACTCCTTTACATGAGCACATCCTTCCTGTGAGTATGCCTTCTTTCTGCATGCCAATATGAATTATTCATTGCTATAGGGTAAGCTCAAAAGAAAACTGGAAACTCTATTAATACGCTTCTAGTGACAAATCTAACATGCACCCTATTATAACAACAAAAGCCTTGGACATTTTGATGTATTAGAGCGTCAAAATTGATAATGCTATATAGCATCAAAACAATTGGTGTACCATATAAATAAGCTCTCTACTGTTAACAATAAAAGCCAAACCGAACAATGTCCAGATACAGAGAATAATCTGTTTGCTTAATGCGATGCAGTGCTTGTAGGCTGTTCAGGTATGACAGGTGCTTACTCCACTTCCTGTTGAGGTGCACCAAAGAACTCCCTCTTAGAACTTATCTCCGCAACAGGAGTTCTCAGAACTTTGCTTAACTCCACCATCATCATGTCCTCCTGAAATCAAAATTTAAAAGTTTAGCATTCTCCATAAATCAAGTAAATGTGATCAAAGACATCTATATACATGAACAGAAAAGCCTAAACTCTACATTGTTTCATAGGCATGGACACTAGAGCCTGCATAGGAACTTCTATGTTAAATAGAAATAGAGAGGGGAAAATCATGTGGCTCCTCCGTCAAGCCCTCTATCATACCAAATAACAAATTGATATTCGAGTTCTCATGGAAAACACAATGGATGGCTCACAACAACTCGACGGCCATAACCTAAGCAGTTAAAATTTACTCAGTTACAGGCTTGCCACCTGAATAACAAATTGATATACAATGCAGCCACCTGAATGGCAACTCATGAATCGGGCAGCCCAGAAGAGCAACAAGTACATCATCACAATTCATACAACAAGTGATGTAAAGCGCAGTATAAAAGTCTCAGAAGAAGCACCGCGAGAACAGCGGAGGAGATTGGAAGGGGAAGGGAGGCGAATACCCACGTTGGACGACGACGACGACGCCCGCATCCTCCTCCACCCCCAAATTGCCAACCACCGCCACTACCCAAATTGCCCAGAAAACCCCGAACCCCAGAGGCTCCAGGCTCACGGGAGGATCCCTCTACCCCGGGATCTCACCGGAGATCCGGGAAAGCCGCCGGCGCCCACGGCGGAGGCGACAGGCGAGGGTTTGTTTTTTTTTTTAATGAGATGACAAACACGAGATACTCAAGTGCTACCGTATTTTTACCTCAATGACGAAACTACCCCTGCCCCTTCTCCTTCTCCAGCCTCCTGCCGGCGCCGCCTCCCCCCTCCGCTCCCTCCTGCCACCGGCGCGCCGCCTCACGGCGATGTCAGCGGCTACGTTGACGGCGCCGTCGAGCGGAGAGTATCCTTCCCCGGTGTCCCCGCCCTACCCGGCCGCCTCCAAGGACGTGGAGCTCCGGCGCGCCATGACCGCCTCCGCGCGCTCCGCGGCCTTCGCTTCTGCGGACGTCGTGTTCGAGGGCGAGTGGCTCGCCGTCGTCGACAAGCCCGCCGGCGTGTACTGCGACGCCCTCCTCGCCTCCTTTCCTTGCTCTGCCGTCTCAGGTAAAAAAAGATTGAACTTAAAAAGAATCTGCTTTTAGGTGACAATGGCGCCGCTACAGTTAGCAAAATGCGATTCTGCATAGCTCATTGCCTGTGATTTCGTACGTTGATCATCCAGTGTCAGTGATATCGATGATTTGGATGACGAAATTGGCGGATTTTAGGTAGTTTGTGATCTATGTGCGTGTTGTCTAATGTTATTTTACGGATGGCAATGCCTTTGCTCAATACTTGGTTTGGTTTAGGACATACATGCTATGTGATCCATGCAAAGGATGATTGCAAAATGTGCAATTTTGCGTTTCATCACACTACCACAGGCATAAGGCAATCTGTATGCAAATGTTGATTCTCATTCTATTCCCAAATGATCCAAGCTCATATAGTGTTATCTGTAATGGACTAGTTTAACAATTCCTACTAGCAAGTGAGTGTCCGACACTGAAAGTATGGTATGCTATGATGACAATAAAAAAAATACAATGTGTATATTTGAGATACCTCCACAAAAAAGAAAAGGTTTTAGAATCCATTTTCCATAAGTAATACTTATTCTAGAACTAGAATTATGTTCAGCAGATGTAGAAGTAGGAGGGCATATGTCGTTCAGCTGTACGGACTGTCAGACTGATATATTATTGTCTGGAACCCCTGTTTTTTTTTACTTTGCTTGAGTTTCTTATTGTCTGTAAGCAATATCACTGCAAACTAACGGCTGTAGGATTCTACTAAGCACAAGTTTTAATAATGGATCATATGAAATTCTATAGTTTTATCATTTATAATTTGTGCGTGCAACTCTTCATTTATTTTGGGAGTTTTTCAATTGAATACGGTATTCACTGTATGATATTTGTTTTTTTCCTTGTCCCTGAAAGCATATGGAAGTAGTTTTGTCTGGCTAGTAGTTAGTACCTTTAGGACTATAGTTGGTACTTCTGGACTTGCTGAGGTGATGAAACAACATTTCTGATCTGTCTGTGTTTTGTCGGAAAGTAAATGTTTGATACTTAAGTAACCTGCTACATAATAATATCAGTGTGTTTTATTTCTATATTAATCATCTAGATTTCACTATTTGAAGCCACAATTGAATTGTTTTTCTTTGCATTCGTATTGTTCTTGCTTCACTATTTCTAAGCTCTAACTACAGGCAAATATTTCTTGCGACTCGCAGAGGATCCAGCAACTAAACCTAACCTTCACCTTGCGAACAGGCTGGATCGTGATACCAGTGGGCTCATGGTTATTACCAAATGCAACAAAGTTGCTGGGAAGCTAGTGAAGACATTCACTGATCATAAAGTCAAGAAAACATATCTAGCTCTTTGCATAGGTTGCCCACCGACATGGGAAACAATTAAGATATGTTCTGGTCATGGGCGATCAAAACATGGTGCTTGGCGGTATATAACTATATGCTATGTCTGATGTTGGCCGTTCACTGCCAGGTGGTTCTGTTGTAAGGGACATGAGCACACAGTTTGAAGTTTTAGGGGTCAATTGTAAAGGGCAGTTTAGAGAACCCTACAACTTTGACGCCAATGATATTGAGTCAATTACTGTACAAGAAAAGGCAGCTGACTAGACTTGCAGTGATGTGAACAACAGTGCCATTTTGGTTAGAGCATATCCCCAAAGTGGACGGACACATCAGATTCGTCTACACTGCCAGTATCTTGGTTTCCCGATCAGAGGTGATGTGAAATATGGCGGGGTGATTGAGTGGAGCGGCGTAGAGTGTGATGACCATGCATTGCATGCGGAGAGCTTGTCATTTGTACACCCTATCACTGGATTGCCCATCACTTTCCGGTCAGCTCTCCCTTCATGGGCAAAAGATTGTATATCAACAATGGAATAAAGTTCCCTTGATCTTATTGTGATGCGCGATGCTGCAGTGGACACTGAAATATCCACCAAGGATGTACTCCCAACTCTGAACTGCCAACAGCGTCATCTCTTGAAGCCTTTTCTGGGAGTCGCATTGGGAAATAGCACTATCAAGTATCTTTCTTTATTGTGGGGATGCTTATCAAAATCTTGACGTCATGGAAAAGATAGCACAAATACTGAGTAGTCTGAGTTGACTGTGCTTGTAGCACAGTTTTACTTCGGACTGTAATTGTAGCATCTGTACTGTAGAGATATTGAGTTGTCGTAGTATTGTTTCAAATTTTGAGTATGCAAATGCATGCACACATGTTGTACCATGGATATGTATTTGGTCGTTCAACAAGACATCCAGAAAATTTGAGATCCACATCTAAAGTTGCTCTTGGAAGGGAGGCAACAGAATGGGATTTTTCAGTATCTCAAATGCAGTTCTGCACCTGAGGTAGTTGTTGGTTTGGATGGCCATTTGAAGTGAGCTGAAAATCAATTATCAATTAAGCAAATGGCTGTTCAAGAAGTTTATAAAAAAAACTTGCATGACCATGAGCTGCAGAAATTGGTTAGTTGATTTGGAGTGTCTGTTGTGTTCTCAGGAAAAGAAAAAAAAAACTTGCATTACCGTGTGCCATGTCAACTGTGAGGACAGAACAGCCACTGCAAATCAACTAACCATTTTCTCCAGCTCATGGTTAATTTGCTTGAGTGGACAAAACCTTAAGGTTCACCATAACTGAAGCTACCACAGAACTGCAGAGGGAAACATTAGAACATCGATAAAAAAAATATATATTGCTCATCTCATCGTTTCTTTGATGCAAATGAACCACAGGGAAGTTTACCCTGCTGAAGTTATTGAAAAAAAAATGTCTTGTGCCTGAACGCACTCGGAACATACAGTACAACCAGTTCACATGCCAAAATGGGCAGCAGGTCTCTGGGATGAATTTTTTTCAAAAATCATCATGTCGTCCTGGCTGTTGCGCCAGAGGAATCGTACGTCTTGCTGAATTGTCCAGCGCCTTTATTCTCTCCAGCGGTTGCCGCAGCTCGGGTTGCAGCAGACAAAGAAGAGCGTCATCCCCTCCTCGCCTCTTGCCGTCGCCTGCAGCACCAGGGCACAAAAGGAACCAAAAGAACCATGGTGAGCTCCTTGTCAGAAGTTTCTCGCTCATGGTCTATGAAGATTGAAGAAGACGATGCTATTGCTAGCTCTTGAGAAGGAGGAGGAGGAGGTGAGCGACCTGGAAGAAGACGGCCTCGCCGTGGCCGCAGGAGGCGCAGCGCACGGACTTGGTGCGGGGCAGCGTGGGGTCGCCAGCGACGTCCTGGAGCACCTGGGTGAACTCCCCGGCGCTGTGGTGCACCACGTTGCGGTACACGCAGTTGTTGTCGGCGACCTCCTGCGGTGCGGTGGTCCCAGCAGAGCATTTCAGAATGGCTAAACCACGTCAGGAATCTAGTAGAAACAGCAGAGATGGAAGGAACAAGAGATATGCTTCAGAGAGAGATCCGAATGGATCCGAGAAGATGCTGATGGATCGACGATGCATCGAATGGCCGAATGGGTGGAGAGCGGAGGGGGACGGCGAAGGAAGGAAGGGAACCTGGTGGTCGCAGTTCCGGCAGGCGTAGAGGAGCACCTTCTGCTCCCGGTCGTCCTTGGGGTACAGGATGTTGTTGCTGCCATACCAAGAAAGAGAGGGTGCCGTCAGTAGAGGTAGAGCAGAGCAGGTGAACATGGAAGCGAGCAGGCAGCAGCAGCGTCGTCGTCAGTGGCTTACCATTCACGGCAAAACTTCATGGTACTCATGGCTGCTGACTGCAGGTGGGAGAGCTTGCCTCACTGCTGAGTTGACTCCGGTGCTGCCTGGTTGAGTGGTTGTCTGGCTGCAAGATCTTGTTTTTGGTGGTTTCCGGTGGTGGAGCTGAGCTGAATCGTATTCCCCTTTGCAGGAAATGGTTGATTGGGAATGGAGAATTGGTCAGAGGAGGTGAGCAGGCACCACTGGCCATTTTAAAATAGGGCACAAAGTGAAGAGATATAATATTAAAATATCGTTTTCTTTGAATTGGTGATGCTCAGCTCAGATGCTGCCTGCCTGTGGGCTGTGGGCGCCTGCGCGGGTGGGGACATGAAAGACAGAGACTGCTCGGGTCTCACCGGGAAAGAGAGTTTTATAGGGAATCGCAATAGTCTGTGTGACCAACCAATCACCACCATCCTGCTCTCTCCCACTCAAAATACTCCCTCCGTTCCAAATAAACTCATGTCTTGCTTTTTAAAAAATCAACTTTTAAATTTGATTAAATATATATAAAAATATACTAATACTTATAATGTATAATAAGTACCATTAGATTAAGCATGTAATATGTTTTAATAATATACACTTATTTGACTATATAATATTTATAGTATTTTCTATATTCTTAGTCAAACTCGAAAAAGATTTTTTTCTCGGCCATGCTGTGGCACATATTTCATTAAAAACAAGATATGCATTTATCTTGGGACAAAGAGAGTACATTTTTTTCCTACTCTCTCCATCTCAAAATACAGTTTTTTGCTACTCTCTCCCTCTCAAAATACAATTTTCGAGAAGTTAAATATTTTTAACTTTAATCAAATCTATACAAAAAATTATTAATGTTTATGGTGCAATAAGTGTTATCAGATTAAATCTTAAATATATTCTTATAATAACTTATTTGAAGATAATATTTTAATATTTTTAATAAATCTAGTCATACTTAATAAAATATGACCCGCACAGAACCCAGAGCTTGACACTTGTTTTAGGAAGAAGCCAGTGTTTGTGCGCAAATAGTTGCATGGCTGCTGCCTTCTGCTAGCTGGCTGCTGCATAGTATTGCTGCTGCTGGGTGCTGGCTGCATAGTAGAGGCCATGCAACTATTGGGGAACCTACTGTTTTCCAATAGAAATAGAACTACTGATTACGAGAAGGAAAATGTTTAACGATCATCACGTAAGACGAGGTACGGAGGAGACGGATCGGATTCACGTAGTCGGATCTAAATATCACTTGTTACTATATTTTAATTTAAATATGAATATCTTTTTAATAAAAAGATGCCTTGAATTCGGATTTCTATTTGAATATTTACTCTACTCAATTCAAAGTGTATATGTTAAATTCAAGGGAGAATTGTCCATTGGACATCAAAGTGATGGTCATTTACTCTACTTTTTAGCATTTTGCCAGAAGACACTCTAGTTCGGTGAAATTAGGCCACAGGACATCGCGGACCGGTTGCAGCCGATTGAGGAGAGATAACAGCGGTGAAATGACATTCTTGCCCCTGTCGCTTTCTTCTTCCTCTCTCCCTTTTTCTTTTTTCTGTTTCCTGTCCCCGCCACCCTCTCCGCCTCCCACGCCCTTCTCTCTCCCTTGCTCCGGCGTCGTGCCACCGACGTCCGGGCCCAGGACCGCGCCTCCGACGCCCGCGCCCTGGCACCCACGCTCCGGCCTTGCGCCTCCGGGCCCTGCGTGCTCAGCGGCCACGCCCCCACCCTGCGCCGATGAGCCACGCTCCAGCGGTCATGCCCTGTAGGCCGACGTGCGCGTGCTCCCTACCCTACTCCTTCCCTTAGTGGGCCACGACGGCGTGATGCGCGACGACGGCGCGCGGAGGGCGAGGGGTGACGCGCGGCTGGCTGGGCCACGGGCCACGGCATGACGGCGGCACCGAGCAGGTCCCCCGCGCGCGACGTAAATGGCCTGCAGTGGCGAGGCGGGAGGGCGGTGGCGAGGAAGGAGCCGTGGGAGGCGGGGCAGAGCCGGCTGCGCCGGGTGGCGGCAGGGTAGGGTCGGCGCGCAGGGGCGTGGGCGCGGACACCGCGGTGCTCCTATCGTCGGCAGCAGCAGCGACGGCGGTTGCTCGCACGTGGTGCTCATGGTCGCGGCAGAGGATCGTGTAGCAGAACCGCCCGAAATAGCACTCTTCCGGAGGCGCTCGTCTTCCACTAGACGCTAAGCACCTCGAAAATAAGCTACAACGGATAGTTCCGTCGAGCACACCCCAAGGGAAAACTCGAACAATCCACGTTTTTCACCCAGGATCCAATAATAAGTACGAGCTTACAATATTTAGTCCATTTCATACAACAAGAGTTCTCGAAAATACATTATTACAATACCAAATTCCTAGTGCGGAATTTAAACAGCAGAATTGAAATAAACATCTAACAATAAGATATAAGGATCCGTCTGTGCCCACCAGAAGAATCCTCCACACAACAGTCACTACTCAAGCTACACCTGCAACAGGGGTAAATAAACCCTGAATACACAATATACTCGCAAGACATACCCGCTAGTGGGAATAACTTTCCGACTCCAAAGGATATGATAAGCTTTATGGTTTAATGGGTTTTCTATTTGCGAAAAGCATTACTAGTAGTGAATCCTTATGTATGTATTTTATTAGCAGTCATGATTAGTTCATCAGCTAACCATTCTATATAAGCACATGTTCTACTTTTAAGCAAGAGTTGAGCAATCAGATCCATTCATCCCCTTTTATCTTTCAGTTCTTACTACGGTGCTAGATCATAGACAAGTCGTACCGTATCACACGGTGATTCACGAACCAATGTATCCCAGCTGGGTACCCTGAAACGCACGCCCCGCTTGTACCCTAGGCACAAGCAAGACCAACCCACCACTCTCCTATCAAGGGTTCTAAGTCCCCGTCTAAACTTAGACTCCAAGCCTCCACTCCTGAGTCCTAGACTCAATGTGGTGCTTAGACCTCCACCATCTCCGCCTCCAATCAGTCAGTCCGGAAAGAGCCAGAACCCATGACAAGAGAGCAACGAGCCTTCCCGCTCCCATAAACAAGTATGTGCTTGGGATAATAAGTCTGTGACCTGACTAAAATCCACAGCAATGGACGGTCCTTAACCGACACGGACAGGAAAAATAGTGTAACCAAGCTACGCCCCGTTGGTCGTGGGACACAACCTATTACACCCACCAATACATGTAACATATCCTTGCCCGGTCTCCATTTCTTTTCACCATTTTATCATGAGAGTAATAATAATAATCCCTATTGTGAGTAACGGCAGGTTACTCACGCTACCGATAGCCTAAGCATAGCAGCTACTCGACCTATGCTAATAGGACTCATGGTAGTTTATCTATGCATGTATTTTCAATATAAATTATTTAACATAAATGCACATCACATATATATATATATCCAGTGATTATTCAAAATAAGGGTTATACATCGGGGCTTGCCTTGGGTAGGCGGATTGTCAGTTAAGTCAGTCAATGACGGCTCTAGGACCTCCTCCTGCACAAGGACCTCCTCCTCATACTCCTCGATCACCTCTTCGTACTCCTGCTCTCCGACGGTCATGAACTCCACCAACTTGTTCTCTATATGCAAGCAACGATGATGTAACACTTAGTATTTTGGCAACAATAACTCTTAAAATAAGAATACACATGCTAAACTACTAAGCTAGATCTAATTACTAAAATACTAAGATAATCATTATTTCTACCAAATAGATTCCAAGCTCACCCTATAAGGGCTTAATTTTTATAAACCAATATCATGCCATTATTCATTTAGCCTTAATGGGTATTTAGCTATCATATTAAATAGTCTATTTTAGGGCTACAAAAATTACAGTGAGCACATAATAATACAATGAAACTACTATAAAAATTTCAATATTTTTGTTATCACCAATCTACCACAAAAATTCCTACAATGATTAACTTAATAATATTGAGCACTCTCAAATGATTTAATAGCTCCTGGTATCAACAAGTACATATATGAACTAAATATACTACCAGATAGAGCACAATTTTAGGAACCTAACAAAATTTGTTTCATAATTTTTGGATATCTACATTATTTTATATTAATTAAAAAAATTAAGCTCAGAATTAAAATAAAAAACTATTTCTATTTTCCACGAAAAAGATAAATCGATTTTTGCCCAACGCGGCCCACACGCGGAGGCGGCCCGCGGCGGGGAGCCCACGCGTGCTAGCACTCTTGCAAAAACACCCTCGTGTTATCAGACAATAGCGCGAATACTACACGTACTATTCATATAGACAACGACTTTGCAACGGAGCCCTCGTATCTTTTCACCTTCGCACCGGAGAGGTCCACGAGACGCCCCGCGCTCGCCAGCGCGGCGGGCGGTGGCACTAGGCGGTACGCCGGGCATCCAAGACCCTTGCAAACCTAGCTAGGGGACCGATGCTCACATATGGCCGACGCGCGACGATGGGCGGTGGTTGCACGAACGGGGGTGAAGCAGATCGGGCTCTCCCCGGCGGCGACGACAATCGCGTTCCGGTGAGCCACAGCGTACAACAGATAATAGAGGTGACAGGTAAGCATCAGTGACGCATCACGATCCTACCCGTGGCGGTGTCCTAGCCGGAGACGTCCTGAGCAAGTCTAGCCACGTGTGCGCAGTGAGCTTGACGGCGAACCGCAGCGACACGGCCGTGTCAGCGGCGTGGAGGCGGCACTAGGGTTGCGACTAGCATGCGTATGACTAAGAGCGGTTCTAGGCGAGGCTACTGGTGTGATCAATTCGAGGTTGGAGCTAGCCACGATGAGGCAGGCTGGGCCTTAATGGCGTGGCAGCAGGAGCAAAGCTCCAAAATTGGAGCTCGGCCTGGCCGTAATCAAGGCGGGGTGGGGTCGATCGACAAGGGGACATAAAGGCATAGACGCGGGCACGAGGAATTGATGAGAGGTGCTCGCTCTCTAACTCGCCGTGACTGCAACTCGATGGCGGCAGAAAGCAGAGGAAGAAAGAGAGAAAGAGAGATGGGGTGCGATAGGTGGGCTCAGCTCGTCCTCGCCTTGATGGGACGCGAGCGGCAAGATCGAGAGACCCACGCACCGGCGCTAGCAGACAGGCGCGCACGCTCGACCGGCGTGGCCCACGCGGCCGCAGTGTCATTAATGACAAGGCGACGGCGAGCCTGACCACGTGCGCGCGGCAGAGGCGACACGCACTGGGCTGGCAACAGCGCAGAGATCCAGCAGATAGGCGCGAACGCGACGATGATGTGATGCCAGTGGCAGCGTCACGGCGCGAGGCGGGTCGGCAGCGTGGCGAGGCAGCAGTGGCGGATGCGATGGCAAGGTGATAGCGCGGCAGTGGCTTCATCATGGCGCAGTGGGGCCAGCGACAGCCGAGCCATAGCCAGGCCAGAGGTAGCCACGGCCGGCCGCGCGTGACAGCGCGTGCACGACCAACGCGATGACACTGAGCGCTCGAGCCCGGTGATCGCGGCCACGCGGCCAACCTGCCCAAAATCGTGTCGTGCACGAATTTTAAAGCACCCATAAAAACTAAACGGTTGTTTCAGGACCTAAACCATCTTCACCATGCTTAAGATGGCACATGAGACTACCAAAACGAGCTAAAACACTACACCACTCCTTAGCCCAATCTCTCACAATAAATTGCTAAACATAGCAATGTCTAGCTGTTGGCAGACTTGAAAATTTCTAAGTTTTTGAGCTGCATTTGTTTTCAAGTTCCATTTCTAGACTATTAGAAATACCAGCTGGTAACATTATTTTTCTACAGCAAGTATTTGAAAGGTCCTAATGGCTAGAGGGGGGTGAATAGCCTAATAAAATTCTACGATAACACTTAACAAAATGTGTTAGACAATTTTGCGGTGAAGCGAGTGTTGCACTAGCCTACTAAAATGCAAGCCACCTACCACAATTCTATTTTGAATAGTGTATGTCCACACAATAGCTAAGACACTTAGCTAAATTAGTGTGCTCTCAAAGACTAACTAAAGAGCAACACTAATCAAACAAACAAGCTCTCACAACTAGCTACACTAAAGAGCTTGATAACTAGTTTACGGTAATGTAAGAGTAAGCAAGAGAGTTATACCGCCGTGTAGTGGTAGGAACCAATCAATCACAATAATAAATACCAATGTAGACCAATCATCTCGGAATCAAATGATGAACACAATGATTTTTACCGAGGTTCACTTGCTTGCCGGCAAGCAAGCTAGTCCTCGTTAGGCAATTCACTCACTTGGAGGTTCACGCTACCGATTGACATCACTCGCCAAACCCTCAATAGGGTGCCGCACAACCAACACAAGATGAGGATCACAAGCCACAAGCAATTTACTAGAGTACCTTTTGGCGCTCCGCCGAAAGGTCAAGAACCCTCACAATCACCACGATCGGAGTCGGAGACATTCACCTCCTCCACTCAACGATCCTTGCTGCTCCAAGCCGTCTAGGTGGCGGCAACCACCAAGAGTAACAAGCGAAATTCACAGCGAAACACAATCACCAAGTGCCTCTAGATGCAATCACTCAAGCAATGCTCTTGGATTCACTCCCAATCTCACTATGATGATGAATCAATGATCTAGATGAGTGGAAGGGCTTTGACTAAGCTCACAAGTATGCTATGTCAATAGAAATGGTCAAGAGTCTAAGCTTGAGCCGGTCCATGGGGCTATAAATAGAGCCCCAAACAAATAGAGACGTTATACCCCTTTACTGGGCAAAACACGCTCTGACCGGACCCTGGACACAGTGTCCGGTCCACTGATTTTTGCCACATGTCATTTCGAGTTAAAACTAAACCGTCAGATCTTAACGGCTAAGTGTTGACCGGACGCTCTGGTCCAACCGACCGGACGCTGGAGCCACAGCGTCCGGTCGAGTACAGTAAGGGTCCAAATCCATTTTCCTTCGACCGACGCGTCCGGTCCATCTCGATCGGACATAGCCAGCGTCCGGTGGTATACCCTAGCCACTGTACCGCCGAGTTAGCGCGACCGGACGCAGGCAGTCAGCGTCCGGTGCAATCAGATCCAGCATCCGGTCACTTGACCGACGCCGACATCTCCTCTGTCTTCTTCACCCTTGCTTCAACGTACCAACCACAAGAGTTTGCATCCGGCGCCATAGAAAATAGGCATTCCATTTTCCCAAAAGCGCCGAATCCCGCCGAACAAGCTCGGCGGGAGGGAGAGAGGGACCCAAACCCATCTCAACCCTGCAAACACCACCTCCTTTGTAAATGTGTCAACACCACCAAGTGTATCACCTTGTGCACAAGTGTTAACATATTTTCACAAACATTTTCAAGGGGTTTAGCACTCCACTAGATCCTAAATGCATATGCAATGAGTTAGAGCATCTAGTGGCACTTTGATAACCGCATTTCGATACGAGTTTCACCCCTCTTAATAGTATGGCTATCAATCCTAAATGTGATCACACTCTCTAAGTGTCTTGATCACCAAAACAAAATAGCTCTTACAAATTATACCTTTGCCTTGAGCTTTTTGTTTTTCTCTTTCTTCTTTCCAAGTCGAAGCACTTGATCATCACCATGCCATCATCTTTATCATGCTATGATCTTCATTTGCTTCACCACTTGGAGTGTGCTACCTATCTCATGATCACTTGATAAACTAGGTTAGTACTTAGGGTTTCATCAATTCACCAAAACCAAACTAGAGCTTTCAGTATTTCATTGTCATCTATAAAGTTTGCACTTCAAACTTTATTTAAGTGTCACATATATGTTCTATAGTATTTTTGTTCAATTAAAATTAGTTTTAAACCCTACTTGATATCATGAACTATCGAACCAACTTTCGTTTAGCATTTTTATTTATCATTTTGAGTTACGAAAATTGATCTACATACTTTATCACATACATTATCACAAAAATATGATGCTCATGACATAGTTTAGCAAGTTATTTAAGTGGTAACACCGAGGGTGTTACAGCTCGCTAGCTCGCCAGCAAGCCCGCATGGCCGCGGCTGCGGTAGCTCGCCAGCTCGTCCGTGCGCCTGCGTGGCTAGGGCTAGTCGACGGCGGTGGTTGCTGCTCAACAATGGAAGAAGAGAAGAGGAGAAGAGGAGGATGAAGAAGATGATAGGTGGGCCCCACGCATCAGTGAAAGGGAGAGGGGCGGACCCAACTGTGGCTCAGGGGCACCGGATGTCCAAAACAAAATTTTCTCTCTCCTCAACCGGCTGCAACCGATCCGCGTTGTCCTGTGGCCTAATTTCACTGAACCAAAGTGTCTTCTGACAAACTGCTCAAAACATAGTGTCCACCAGCAAATGACCATTACTGTGGATGTCCAACAGACAATTCCCCCTAAATTCAACATACATAAATAGATTTTTAGTACTAAGTCCATCGATAATCAAAGTGAATTAAAATTAAAGTACACTTCTAAAAATCTCTAATATCAAGCTGAACTAAATTATAATGGACAATATTTAATAAAATGATTGGTCAAGTGGAGAAATTCAAATAAAAATGGTCGGCAACAAGTAGCCATTTTGCTTTATCAATGTTTTTATACTTACAAAATTATTACACGAGTAGAGATTAAAGTGTGGGTATATAACATAGACAAGGATAACTCATAAAAAATAATACAATTATCAATAAATATTTAACAATTATTAAATATATCAACTAATCAATCATTATTTATATAATATTTATCATAAAATTATAAATTATATAAAATAATTTTTATTAGTAAATAAATAAATAAAAGTAATTTTTATGTATCATTATCAATAGATATTATATCAATATAGAAACTTATTTATAAATATATTACTAAATAGTTTCAATGCATCATTAGTAATATTAAAATTAAATAATTAGGCACTAGTCATGGAGAGAAAACTTTTAAATAGATTCATTTACCTTGCTCTTCGCATATACGAATAAATATCTTTGGTATATAATTAGTATCATTAGATATAAATAAATATATATAATAAAATATTAATTTTTATAGTGCATAATTAGTATCATTAGATAGATCGTCGAATCTATTTTCATAATAAACTTATTTAGAGATAAATGTTGCTAAATTCTTTTTACAAACCTAACTCATAGAAAGGGACAGAGGGAGTATATGTCAATATATGTAATCTTTTTTTAATGTATTCAGACACGTGTGTCAGCACGAGCGTGTTCACTTGTTTTTAATAAAGTTATACTTTTTTGGAATAATTTATTTTAGAAAAGAAATTTTACGCTAGAGGTGTTTGACTTGAATAATAAGTTGACTTAGAATAATAACACCTGGTACTTATAAAACAAGGACAATCTTATATTATTGTCCATATGATTACTGTTCACATGCAAAGAACTATACACAATTAGTAATAAAGAATCTGAATTCCAAGCTGGAAAATAAACGAAAGAAACCAGAAAGAAAAGGGGTTACAATGAGACAGCTGAGAAAGATGTACAGTTTTGCAAACAAAACTTCTGCTGCCTAACAGCGAGATGTAAAACAATTTCCTTCGTAGCTATACGTCATGAAGTCATCAAGGAGCAGGCACCAAAGCGCATGGCATCCCATGTGTTCTGCTTTAGTTGTCTGGAACGTCTTTTAGCTAACAAAACCCCCTCCATCAGAGTTTATCATGATTTCACAGTTTCACTATCAACATGGCTTTCATTCTCAATTTGCTTTCCATTCATTTGTGTTCGTGGTCTCTGCACCGCAACATAACAATATTGCTCAGTTCAGGTAATAAGCAAGATAGTTCAACAAAATTATAGCCATCTCGTCATGATAATTTCATACCCGATCAGCTGAATCCATAGAGTTACCGTTCAGCAATCTCGTATTTTCTTCTTTCAACTTGGTATCTTTATCCTTAGCACTCACAGGAAGTACTGATGTGGACCCCACTGATCGATCAGGAAGTTCTACAGGATGAAATTCAAGTGTTGGTGATATATGGAACCACATAGGAAAAGATCATTCCAACACTGGTGGAGATTCTTTCTCACCTGTAAGCTTCTTATCCACAAAGAAAACCACCAAATTCACAGTATACCTGCATAAGAAAGACACATCAACAAAGGGAAAAAGAAACATGGCATAATCATCCAGTTCAATAAATATGTACTAACCATGCAACAACAACATCAACACTGTAATGCTTGCGAGAAGATATAATAAGAAGGCTCTGAGCAATAGCTATGCACCAAGCAAGCATCTTACAAAACCTGACATGAATAAACAAAAATAGGACTCAAACATCATTCAGCATATCTTTCACAAATGGGCTGACATAAACAAGAAGAAAATAAATGAACAAATCTTCACCTTATGCTTCCATATTTCTGGTATGTTATGACAAAAACTAGGGTGAAAATCATGTGGGATGAAAATATCAAGTCACCACATCCATAAATCACTCCTTTTGGGACTGTAGTCAAATGACAGAACAAGCTCAGGATATTTGGACATACAAAAAGAGAGGCATGATATATTGACGCATAGGGGATCACCACTTACAATTAATCAGAAAGATCTCAGCTGCATTCTGGGGAGGTGGTAATCTAGCCAGAGGTGAGCCCTGTATTATACGAGATTAATAAAAGTATTTCCAAGTCATAATGACATAGCACATAGTAATCAACTTATAACAAAATCTGATACCTTGCGACAATGATAATTAGGTCCTGGAAGCTGTGTTGCATAGAATGTAATTATTCGAAGAAACTGAGAAGCCTGAAGAAACCAAAAAAAAAAACCCAGTAAGTCGTGGAATACAAACTAAGGCTGATCAGGAAATCACATAAAAAAAACTTGCAACAAAGAAACACTCACACATAAGAAGGCAAGAACCCTGCGCCATATCAGAACAGTGTAGAAGCGTTTAGTCTGAAGGATGAAAGGATGAAATGTCCACTGCAAAGCAAAATTGAAACTGTTACAATTGAGCAATGCAAAACTTGAAGCTAGGAGAAAGATTGGTCCATTTCGGGGAGAAAAATAGCAAACTGAAATCAGCGCTGTAACAATTGAGTTAGCTTACTTAAACTTGGAGATTTGAACAAAATTGATGCATTTTCAGGAATAGAAGAAGAAAATTTGGTAGCAATAGGAAAATTCAAATGTGAGTAAAAGACACATTGTGAATAAAGCATGGCATCCATTGCGTTCAAAAAAAAAAAAACATTGCGCTGAATAAAGCATGGCATAGCTATCCCTCAGGTATACATCGCAGGGTTATCGGTTCGTTTAAAACAAATAGCCAACTCCCAATGTGCAACCATGGCCATCGGAAGGGAAAAGAAAAACAACAAAAAAAGAAAAGATTAGTACCAATACAAAGGTGAGGAAGATGAATGTAAACAATGTCTCACTGATGTAACCCCTTTCTTTCCCAAGCTCCTACATCAAATTCAGCAGACAAAAAACGCAAATAAGAAAACATTACCAGTATTGAATTTAATAGTGTTAGATGTTGTGCATTGGTTCTCAATCAATCTGTAGACATACCGGAAGAATCATGAAGCCAAGATCTTGAAGAGTGGGCCCCGGCCGGTGCAAATAATGAACCCCATGAGCGGCCAAACCATGGATGTACTATTTATATCATTGAAAAAAAAAAGAAGAATTATTACACGGAACTGTAAGTAGGAAAACTGCAAATGCCCAGCTGATCATCTATCAATTTAGTATTAGTACACAAAAAAAATTTATCTCTCTGGAAAAGCATCAAGAATGAATGAATCACCCCATGGGAGAGAAGAGGGTGGAATATCAGAATCGGGATATATATTTACCTGGAAAATGAGGCCAGTGAGGAGAAGCCGCCATTTGTCGGAGAGAATCTTGAGCTCGACTGATGTCTCCGAGGTAATCCTTCTCACTAGCTGCACTCCAAATAAACCCGATCCTCAAAATCCAAGTCAAGACTTTTCAACCAGAAATCAGGGTGAGGCCTCTTAACAAAGGCCCGATCGAAAACATGAAATCCAACCACCAATCCACACGGACCTTGGAAGCACCGCGAGCGAGGTAGAAGGGCGACATGGCTGCCGGTGGCCGCCGGCAGAGGTGGTGTTATGGCACCCGGAATTGGAGCCAAGGCCAAGGAGGAGGCTTGAGGACTCCAGCCGCGTGCAAGAGGAAGGAAGGATTGTGTGCCTCCTCCTCCTTGTCGTCCTCCTTCCCGGTGCGCCGCCCTTCGTCTCTTTCCTCTCCTCCTCCCCGGAAGCAGAGGAGGAAGGGAAGGGAGGGAAGGGAGGGAGAAATCGGATGTCGGGATGCGAGGGTTCCTGGCCGATGGGGAGGACTATATCGGTACTCTAATCTAACAACGAGGGTGGAAGAAGCGGGGGCGGCGGCCGGGTTGTCCGGAGAGAGGAAGACGGGGAGAGGAGAGAATGCGCATGCGCTGCCGCCGCACGACGCACCTGCAAGAAACCAGGCCTCGTTTTTCTTATTCTTTCTGATGAATCTATCTATCTAGAGGAGCCAGACAGCCAGCCAGGGATCCGAATGGCCTCTCCAAATATGGATTGCCTCGATCCTTCCTCTGCAGTCTGCACTGCAAGAAATCATGCGGCGGGTTATTCCCCAGAACCACAGAGGAGGCAAGGGAGGGGCGGGAGAGATTCTTTAGAATGGAACTGGAGTAGTCGTGTCAACGGAACCATGGCAATTGACAGGTTGGACGCGTCACGCGGACAGAGGAGTTTGACGCGGCTATGGAATCCAACGCGGCGGCCGGCGGGTATGTGCTGGGAAAGAGATTCTGTACAGAGTGTTTTTCCCAGGAGCGGCGCTGGCTTCGGGGAAGGTAGCTTTTCCACCTTCGATTCTGCTTGCTTCCAAATGGCGCAGCTACACCTGCGTGGCCCCCGCGTCGCCCCCCAAGCGGGCGACTCGGGCGGCGTCCCCTCCACCGCCGTCAGCCCCTTTCCCACGCCACCACCGCCGGAGCTCGACGCCGGAGGCCAGAGGAGAGCAAGGACGGCGGCGGCTGGGCCTCTTCTCCTCTCTCTCTCTCTCTCTCTCTCTCTCTCTCTCCCGGAGGAGCTTCTGTGCAGACAACAGTCGGCGGCCAGTTCCCAGCAACGGCGAGCGTGGATCCGGCAGCCCCTCGACCGGATCTCGCCGAGGAGGCGGCGAGTGAAGCGGTGGTGTCCTTGGCGGCGCCGGCCAAGCGAGAGATGCGGCGTGCCGAGACCACCGCCGTCTGATGCTTGGGCGGCGGCCGGCCGGGCAAGCCCTTTGTGCCCGCATGATACTGGCTAGCCCGCCTGCCCCCATCCACGATCGGGGGCTGTCGGGGCGCGCGCCGTGGCCTCGTTCCGTGCCTTGCGGCTTGGCGCGGTCAGAGCGATGTGCCCGGCGGAGGTGGGCGCGCGGGGCTGCTACTAGACGTCGCGGACTACGGGCGTGGATCAGTGACTGGGGCTCAGGGGCGGCGGATGCGGTCCTCCGGCGGCCGGATCCGGTCCCTTCTGTGCTAGATCTGCACGGTTGGCGGGTCTTTCAGTGGCGGCGGCCGGACAACGGCCCTCGCCCCGAAGGATTGCGCTGTGGCTGCGGTGGTGGCCCGTACATCTTCGTTAAGGCCGTGCTCTGCAGCAGGGCGGGGGCGGCGGTGTGGCGGCAGATCGACGACGACGGCGGCCTGCAGCGGCGGTGGATAGCGACGACGCTTCTTGTTGCCCGGGACACTTGTTGCGGCTGCCCTGAGCTCCAGGATTGGCAATGACGGGCGGCAACCTACGTTTGGCAATGGCAGCAATGAGGCCCGTGACAGGGGTTGGGCGCCTGGCGAAAGCCGAGCCCTTTCGGGCCGATGACGGCGATGTCTTCGGGCGCGGCATACTTCCTTGGAAGCGTCCATCGATCAGCCCTTCCCCTTACGTGGCGCTTTGTTCCCGGATGTAAAACCTTAACCTTCGCGAGAGCAACACTTGTGGCGTCGTTCCCCTTGTTGGAGGCGTCATTTGGAAGCTCATGCTATACCAATCATTGTGGTTGCTGATAAGGTGGAGGCCTAGTTGAGGATTCGGGGTCCAGTATCTATGGCGTCAGAAGATGGCTAGGAAGAGGGCATTGGCGCAGCAATTAGAGGGCTTGGCATCTGCTTGGTGGAGGGCGACGGTCCTTGGCTCGTAAATCGCTCGTTTAGGTCCTCAAACTTATTCTGTTGTATCATTTAAGTCTCTAAACTTATAAATCAACCGTTTAGGTCCTCTAACTTGTTCAGTTATGTCATTCCGATCCCAAAATGCTATAAATACTGTAAACTTATAAATTCAATATATATTTATAGATCTGTCAAAAAATTATAAATCTAATTTTGTTAAGCTCCTGGTAACATGTACTTTAAATTAGAATAAAAGAAATTACCATGTATTTTTTATTTTTAACTAGGCAGTTAAATGACTAAATAGTCACTTATGTTCTTATAAATCCTAAAAATGTATGTGCCTATTAAATTATTGAACTATAGAGTTAAAAATAGAAAGTACATAGTGATTTTTTAATTCTAATTTAAAGTACATGTTAGCGGGAGCCTAATCATATTAGATTTATAATTTTTGGATAATTTTATAAATAATATATTGAATTTACAAGTTTACTGTATTTAGAGACCAGGATACACAACTAAACAAGTTTGAGGACCTAAAAAGTGTGATTTCTAAGTTTAAGGATCTAGATGATACAACCGAACAAGTTTGAGCACCTAAACAAGTGATTTGAGAGTTTATGGACCGGGATGACATAGATGAACAAGTTTAAGGACTTGAACGGTCGATTTATAAGTTTAAGGACCATGTGACATGGCCGAATAAGTTTGAGGACTGCTGGTGCACTTTACTCTTTCTTCTGGTAGAGATGGTACAAACATGCTCAAGGTAGGTTGATAGAGATGGTACCAACATGCTTGTTGGGGGGACGCCCTTGGCGCGTCACCCCATTGTAGTATCGACGAGGGCTGGACCCTCGATCGCCTTTTCTTGCCTAAAATTCCAAGAAAGCAGTCAACGCAGCATCAGTCCTTCGGTTACCCTCATCAAGGCCATTCCCCTTGCATGGCGCTTTGTTCCTGGATGTAAAACCTTAACCTTCTGGTTAGGCGAGGGCAACGCTTGTGGCGTCGTTCCCCTCGTTGGAGGTGTCATTTGGAAGCTCGTGCTATGCCAGTCATAGTGGTTGCTAACAAGGTGGAGGCCTAGTTGAGGATTCGGGGTCCACTGTCCATGGCGTCAGAAGGTGGCTAGGAAGAGGGTGTTGGCGTAGCGATTGGAGGGCTTGGCATCTGCTTGGTGGAGGGCGACGGTCCCTGGCTCGCAAATCGCTCGTTTAGGTCCTCAAATTTATTCTGTTGTATCATCTAGGTCCCTAAACTTACAAATCACCCGTTTAGTTCCTCGAACTTGTTCAGCTGTGTCATCCTGATCCCAAAATGCTATAAATACTGTAAACTTATAAATTCAATATATATTTATAGATCAGTCAAAAAATTATAAATCTAATTTTGTTAAACTCCCGATAACATGTACTTTAAATTAGAATAAAAGAAATCACCATGTACTTTTTATTTTTAACTATGTAGTTAATTGACTAAATAGTCACATATGTTTTTATAAATCCTAAAAATGTATGTGCCTATTAAATTATTAAACTGTAGAGTTAAAAATAGAAAGTACATACTGATTTTTTAATTCTAATTTAAAGTACATGTTAGCAAGAGCCTAATCATATTAGATTTATAATTTTTGGACAATTTTATAAATGATATATTGAATTTACAAGTTTATTGTATTTAGGGACCAGGATACACAACTAAACAAGTTTGAGGACCTAAAAAGGTGATTTTTTATGGACCTAGATGATATAGCCAAACAAGTTTGAGGACCTAAACAAGCGATTTGAGAGTTTAGGGACCGGGATGACATAGATGAACAAGTTTGAGGACTTGAACGGTCAATTTGCAAGTTTAAGGACCGGGATGACACAGCTGAATAAGTTCGAGGACCGCTGGTGCACTTTATTCTTTTTTCTGATAGAGATAGTACAAACATGCTCAAGGTAGGTTGATAACCCCATTGTAGTGTCGACGAGGGCTGGACCCTCGATCGCCTTTTCTTGCCTAAAATTCCAAGAAAGCAGTCAGCGCAGCATCAGTCCTTTGGTTACCCTCATCAAAGCACTGTTTGGTTCCCCTTGACTAAACTTTAGCTACTAAAACTAGTGACTAAACTTTAGTTACTCCTGTTTGGTTCCCTGACTAAAAGTGATTAAACACCATTAAAGTACTTGAACAAAGACTGATTTGCCCCTGGCTTGGCGCGCTGCTGCTGCCACTGGTTCAAATGGCCGATCAGCTTTTTTGCCGCCAAGATGGCCGGCTGTGCACAAGTTCAAATGATTCATATAATCCGAATAATGTTCAGTTGACGGGTACAATCCGAATAATGTTCACACCTCAAATTACACAAATCTGTTTATTACAAATCATGAGAGCTAATACCTACTAAGCAAACCATTGGCTATCCAATCCCGAAATTGATTCATATTTTGATCTTCGTCCACTTGACGGGTACTAGCTCTATTTTGGTGAGCTCCATTTGCATGAGAAGACGATGCAACTCCTTCGACCTCTGGCACATAATTTTTGTCCTGATCACACCTATCGAATTCGTCATCCACCAAAGCACTATCTCTAATAAAATTATGAATTGCCATGCATGCGATAATTATTTGGCTTTGCTTTGCCATCGGATAGCTCGGTAAATTTAGCAAGATCATCCACTTCATCTTCAAAACTCCAAAAGACCGCTTGATGACATTGCGAAGTGAAGAATGTGCAAAATTGAAAAGCTCCTTTTTACCTCTTGGCATTGGCCCTTCTCGATACTCTTGGAGATGATACTTCGTACCCCTATATGGTGCAAGATAACCCAATCAGTTTGGGTACCCCGAGTCCATAAGGTAAAACTTGCCTACACATTCAATTTAGTTTGTCACTGAAATTGAAACGATTGCAAATATGTGTATGTATAATC